TCACTGTCCCCCATAGGACACTACCACCTCCTCCAGGAAACCTTCCCTGATGGCAACCCATGGATATCTCCAACAGCAGAATCCCACCTTCCAGTCTCTCCCAGTCTCCGGAGGCTGTATGCAGTGAATGCTTCAGGGGGTTCCCTCTGAACAGAACGGCATTTCTATCCTCCCATCTGCCCCAAGCCTCTCCCACACTCAGGACTGGCATACAGGACTCTGCCCAGATGTGCAGGCTTCGAGAAGGGGCTGCTAGAAACCAGGAGCATGTATGAGCTGAGTCCACTGAAAGGTGACATTCATGAAAAGGGGTCAGCACCAGGGAAGCTGGACCAGGAAGCCAGAAATCTCAGGACATGAATTTGTGAGAGCAAGGTGGTACCCAGACCATCTGCAGGACTGCCAGGGCACCAGGCAGGGTCAAATGAGAGACTGTAGAGGTGGACTCAGTGCTGGGTTCCTGACTTAGTGCTGAGGCACCGGATGTGCTCAGGCCAGGCCATGACAAGAGGGGCAGAGAGGACTTATTGGGAGGGGCATGGACCAAAAGGCTATAGCTGGGTAAGAAACAGGGCAGCAAAGCTAAGAGCTAGGTGGGGAGATTTTGCAGACCCTAGTCTCTTTCCCTCAGGACTCCCATGCCACCCTCGGTCTGTAGTAAAGCCCTGGGACAGCTCAGGGTCCCTCACTGCAGGGACAGCCACTGATACTGCAGGGCATGAAGCTGGGCCAGGACAGCTATGCTGGGAGCAATTCCAGGACAGTGCCTACAGTTCAGCGTTGACACTCAGAAAGGAAGGCCACCAGGGCAGGTAGAGGCATGCTGTGCTGCTCACCCCCACTGTAGGGCCTAAGGTCCAGCCCAGAGTCTCCACAGCCTGGGGACAGGGAGGGGGTGGCTTGTTTCTTGATTGATTCATTCGGTCATCCAGCAAATGCTCTCTAATGCTTTCTGTGAACTAAAGGAACAAACATTGAAACATGTCCAAGATCCTGCATCAGGGAATTCAGTCTAGTAGGACAAGTGGGCGGGGAGAGGAGGGGCACACAGGGAGATAAGAGACCACCACCCCTCAGGGACTGTGTGAGAGGAGAGCCCAAGGAGCTGTGGGAACAACAGGGTGGGGGCATCCAATCCAGGGTTGGAGGTCAAGGAGTTCCAGGGGAAGGGATCTTTGAAAAGGTCTCCAAGGAAAAGGAGTTGAGTTTGAAGCACTGCGGAGGCGGCAGGAGAGGAACCTATGTCACGCCCCAGGGGCATGAGCAATGGGCTGAAGAGGGCCTATATGCAGGACTGAGATGTCTGCTGTTATCAGCCATTGGGAGCCTGAAGGGTTTTTAATGGGAGTAACAGGGTCCCATTCATTCTGGCTGCCACTAGTGCAGAATGGGTACACAGGAGAGCTAAGTGAGGACTGAGGCAGTAGCCAGGGGACAGCTGATGGGGCTTGAGGTGGGCAAAGGGATAGAGAGGACGGGTAGATGTGAGAGGTATTTAGGAGGCAGAATCTGCAGTGAGGGCAGTGATTATAACACCAACAGCAGCAATATCCCGCTGAGCACTAAGGATGCTCATGGCTAAACAACACTATCAAACTTCACAAAGCCCTTTTAAATCCACTTTGATCTGTATAACACTCAGGTGAGGTGGGCAGGCCAGGAATTACTTAATTGGTTCATTCATTCAACAAGAATTTGTTGAATGTCTACTATATTCCAGGCATTGCTCTGTCCCATTCACCAGAAGGGAAAACTGAGACCCAGAAGTGCTGCCCAAGAAGTTCCACAGCCACTTGGGGCTACACAGGGTGGGAGCCCAGGCTTCTGTCAGTCTCTGTTAATGAGAAGTGGTGCGGGACTTCTGCCCTAGCCTAAGAGGCTGCAGGAGTGAAGGGGAAGGGCCACTGGCTTGAGAGACCCAGATATCCTCCAGAATAGGGAAACAGGTGGGTGCAGAAGCCAAATAAGAGCTGTGCAAAGGGAATGCCTGACACTGGGGCTGGGTCATAATGGGGACAGGGATGAACGTGACTGGAGTGAAAGCACCTCTTCCCCCAGAACAGGAGTGGGAAGCCAGAGAGGAAATGTGAGGTAGAAGGAGGCACGCTGACAGTACAGGGCTCGGTCTCCTCTATGGGCAGGAGGGGCACAGATGGGCAATGGCAGGACCATCAGGCCCACCTGAGGAAAGGGGAGGCATGCGGCAGGCCCAGAGGGTGACAGAGGTCAGGGTGGGCACAGCAGGAGGACCCAGAGCTGCCCTGGGACCCCTAAGTTGGCTGCAGGAAGAGGAGAAGAGCAGGGCTGAGCTAGGGAAGGGGCAGAGGCCAGGGAGACCCAGCAGAGAAGAGCAAGCCCCATGACCTAGCAGATGCCCCATGCAGTGGCTTCAGGCTGCCCTCCATACTCCCACTGCTACTGACAAGAGCCACCTGGGCCAACTCTCCTCCACTGGCTCCCCTACAGTTCCCTGTCTGTAAGTCAGGCCTCAAGGCCAGTGGTCCACACCCACCATTGACCAGTAGGCTCTTCATTGCCCTGGAACCTACTCTTCCCATCAGTAAACCGGGGAGCTGGAGAGGCCCCCATCTTTCAGGAGGTCAGGTTGGGAAAGCAATACCAATGTTCCGCACACAGTAGGTGCACACAGATGATTGTCCCTGCCCTTCCCTGGTGGCAGAGCCTCTTGGAGTCCCCAGTGCCTCACACACACTTTTGTTCAATGAACTTTTACTGACCTGAGTTTAAATGCTAACCACCTGATAGCAGTGTGAGGCAGTTAGAATTCTGCCCACTGGACCCGGTGGGGAAAGAGCTGCAAGGAAGGAGGACATGGCAGACACCTCAGGGAGCAGGCATGAGGATGAAGCAGAAGCCAAGGTCGATGGGGCAGGTGGCTGAGGCCCTGCTCCTACCACACACAGTAGCACTCCTCAGTAATTTAGCAGACCAGCAGAGGAGCAAGTAGAGAGTAGTGAGGGGTAGGGATGGGGTGCACCCATGTGGAGGGTCTCTGGGCAGACAGGCCTTCTTAGGTCTCCTAATAGTATACATAGTCATGTGAGCTGCCCCTCCAAGCCACCACAACCCACCTCAGAATTCACCCCACTGTATGCCAGGCCCTGACCAAGCTATAGCATTGGAGAGACAATGAAATACATCAAAAATAAGGAAGGGCCACTCTAGGAGAAGGGGCAGAGCCTGGAAGGCTTCATGGAGGCAGTGGCTTTTCAATTACTCTGGGCCTCACCTTGCTGTACTGTAAAATAGGACTGGACTCTTCCACTTCCTATTCTTCCTCCTCCTCCTTTTTCTCTTCCTCTTATGACTATCACCACTAATAATAATATCAAAAGCATTTGGGGCACTTGCTCTGGGGGAGCTCTTTGTGCCAAGATAGACAGGTAAAGCTGAGGCTGAGCCTGCTCTCTCCTGGATTTTCTTCTGCTAGACTGGCTAGTACAGGTTTGACTGGGGTCTGGGCCTTGGGCCAGCTGTAGGCAGGGTGGTAGGGGAGGTGGGTGTCCAAGGTCTGCAAGTTGCCCAGTATTTTCAGCATCACTCCAAGTGGCCTCTCCTGAGCCTGGGTGAGTGGGGCAAGGGTGGAGTTGGATTAGGAAACCTTCCAGAGGCAGCTAAGTCAGAGTTTACACAGTGGCTGTGGTAGCAGCTCAGTTTGGCCCTCCTAGTGTTTAAACCACTGATGCTGAGTGTTGCCTATAGCTGCAGCTTCCGCATTCCTGTAGTCCAGAAGCCCAGCTTCATCCGTGTGTAAGGCTCCAGGCATCCTCAGAAATAAAGGAAAGAGGGAGGAGAGGAAGAAGAGCAATAGTAGTCATCGCTATATGTGTCTCCTGGGCTGAAACTGTGCAATGCTGGGTGGCAGGTATTATTCACAGTTGACTAGGAAACTGGCTCCAGGGGATTGTGTCTCTTACCCAAGGTCACAGATGGAAATGGCTGAGCTGGGACTCACACCTAGCACTGTCTATTTCTAATGAACAAGAAGATGCCAAAGGATGACAGAGCTCATGGGGCTGAAGTCAGAGGGCATTTCATGCATAATCATCAGGCCTTGGAAGGCCTTTGAGAGTGGACTTTTCCTGGATCCCTACACAGTTGGTGCCAATTGTCCCACAACACCCAGGGCTGGGGGAGGGCTAGGGTGGGTTAGGAAGTTTGTGAAGATAAGTGGCAGGGGAGGATGAGGGAGGTCTCTCCTTTGGCTTCCAGCAGCCCTCTGCCCTACCCGACCCCTCTCTGAAAACATCCCACTCCCTGGCGAGATGAGGCACTCAGGAGGCTTGATGTTGCCAATAGGGCTTGAGAGGTTGAAGAGAGATGAAAGCTCAGCCTAGAGCTAGGACAAGGCTACCTGCGGGCTCAAGCTGGGTGGCAGGAGCGTTGGGGGGTCAGTCAGGAAAACCCACGAGAACAGATGTTGCAGTGTCTGGACTCTAGCTATCAAAGCATCATTTCTTTGAGTCCTCAACGGTGTTTAGTTTCCACAAGGCTTCTGAGCCTGGGAGAGGGACAATCCTGGAATGCTGGCAATGGACACAGTACCCTGGAGTCCAGTTCCCATCTGCTAACACACTGTGTTTCTTGGCACAAGTGTCTTCTGAAACTCACTGGTTACCAGTCACCTCATGAATTGTCCAGGGAATACCTAAGGGGACTGGAGACGCCCCAGACAAGCCACCCCTCCCAGTGCCCATGTCAACTGTATGCAGGCTGTGTGCTCAACACAATCATCCATGGCCTTCCTTTATCCTCTCAACAGGCAGTAATGTAGGTATCAGACTCCAGTCTACTAGGAAACTGAGGCTCAGGGTGTCCAGGAAGAGGGGCGGACCAACTCTGTGGGCACTGTTTTGTGCTGCACCCTGGTCAGCTCCTGGCTGCTGCCTTCTTGACAACCACTAGTCACCTCCCTCCCCCCAACAAATACACACCCTTAGCTATGCCTGCTTTTCCCAGTCCCCTCCTCTTGTCTAAACTTCATCAGCTCCTGTGACTGCTCCAGCTGCACACATCTGTCCTGAACTTGGGACACATCTGTGATCTGTATATATAGCACTGAAACTTAATGGACCACTGGCTCCCTTTACTTCTGACTTAAATCTCACTCTTTCAACATCTCCTTGACAGCAGGAAACTCCACAGTCTGGGCACACAGAGGGGACTTGAAAAAACACACTGGCATTAGATCTTGCAGACATGGGTAGAATTGAGCTGGAAAACTCTTGGCCCATCTCTTTATCTCACTGAGGTACAGATTCCCCAGCTGGGACACAAGATGACCCTATCTAGTTCACAGAGTGCAGATAAACTTTGAAATGGGCTGCTGCCCCACCTCAGGTCCCCTCCCTTCTGGGACTTCACTTGAATTCTGTACCACTTCTCTCCATGAAATTTTCTAAACGACTAACAAATAGGCAGATTCTTATGGCTGAGAAACATCTGAGGCTAGTAGAGGGGCCAGGAAGGCCCAAGAAAACAGTTGGGACAGTGCTCAGAACCCCACTATTAGAACATGATTCTTTTGTATGCTCATGAGTCTTCAGTTTCCACAATGGTTTTGAGCCTGGGAGCAGGAACACCTAGGAATATTGGCAGTGGGAAGCAGGGTTCTGGGGTTCTGGTTCCTCTTCTTTACTAATATACTGTGTTTCTTGGCACATCTTCCCCTCTCCAGCCTTCAGTTGCCCCATCTGCAACATAAGATGTCCAGGAAGTGTGCCCTCTTCATACCACTTCCTGGAAGCAAAGAAGAAAAATGATGTAGGGGTGATGTCAGAGTGGTGAGAAGGACCCTCCAAAGGTCTCAAATCCAGGACTATGATGACCAGATGCCTCCACTGGAGGAGCTGTCACATTCCTTCAACCCTCTAAAAAAGGACAAAGCCAACCTCTAGGATTTAAGGACCCCTGCAGACTGGCTCCACCTATTCCCACATGCCCTCTGAGGAAGGACAGGGCCTGAGTACATGCCTTGGACTCTGGAATAGGGTCTCCTAGTCCATCCTCAGGCCAAGATAGCCTACCCAGGGAGCTTAAGCCTGAGGAAAGCTGAATTTACATCCCCCAATCTAGATGGAAAAGGGAATGAGATTCCAAGGGGGCACCTGGGCAGGAAGAGCTCTGCTGAGTGCCCTCTGCCCCAGGAAGGGACGCTGAGGGAGCCTAGAAAGGTAGAAGGGGGCAGAGTTTTATCTTGGCTCCACCACTTACCCACCTGGCTGACTGTAGAAAGTCACTTCACCTCTTTGAGTTCATTTCCTAATCTATAAAATGAGTAAAGTGATAGACACCTCACAGTGCCTGGTAAGTGGCATGTTCTAGAGGAACTATTACTGCAGGTAGTCAGAGAGCACTGGGGAGTCTCCTCCATCAGCCAAGGTGGTGCAGGGGAAGGTTCTTACACCGAGTGCACTGAAAGCTAAAAAAAAAAATGAATGGATGGGGCCTGAGCATGCCAAAAGCTAGCCAGATAATTAGATAAAAAAATAATTAAAAAGCCCTCCTATCCCTATGAGAAGCACAGATTTAAGCAGAAAGGGAGTATCGTCTTTGAGACAGGAGTCCACCATTCTCCCAGGCTGCAGCACTTGAATAGTCTTCTTTCCTTTTACACCAGCACCTGTTTCATGAGTTTGGCTTTCATTGTGGCTGGCAGCCAAACCTGCATTTCAGTTACAGAACTGTGGACAGTATGACCAGATTCCTGGCCAAGAATTTGCTTTTTCACATTAGGCCCACATGGGGTGACCTCAGTCTTGAACATGTGATAAATAGGCACAATGGGGGAGATGAATATTGAGACCCAACAGGGAGTGAGAATGAGGTAAGGCCCCAAATCTGCCCCAGTGGGGTTCCACCTAGAGAATCAGGCTAGTCCCAACCCTGTTCACATACTGAACCCTGATGCTGCTCACACACTGAACCCCAAAGCTGTTCACACAATGAGCCCCGATGCTGCCCACACACTGAGCCCTGACCCTGCTCACATACTGATCCCTGTTTCTGGTCCATAAGGAGCACTGGCTCTGGTCACACAAGAAACCCTGGTCACACACTGAACCTTTACCCAGTCACTAGCCACTGTAGCCAATCCCCACCAGAGAAAATATTGTATTTGGCTCTAAGGAGGGCTCTCATCTCTTTGTAGAATAGCTGCTGGGCTCATCTTTCATCATATGAACTGGCTCATCTCTAGTGAGGAGGGTGTGGGAGACTGTGGGCTCAGTGTATAGCCCCAGCCCCTCACTCCTCCTATTTATACCCTCTCCATACCTTCACCTTATGCCACTGCTTCTGCCTGAAGATGCCCCACACACATCCCAGCCCCACTTCCATAACTCTGGCCAAATTTCTAGGCCCCATGACCATAACTCTACAGCCCAAGCCCTTGGTATGTTTTTCCCCTCTGACCTTGGAAGGTGGAGATTCTGGAAGGCCTGAGGGAAAAGGCCTCAGGCCTCACTCATTCACTGAGCTCATTGTTCAGGTGGGGACATTGAAGTCACTAGGGGTGAATGGCAGCCCCAGGACTTCCATCCTGGTCCAGTGTTTTTTAAATCCAGACCTCTGACTGCCAGGAGGCTTCCTCCTCTCAGTGCCCCACCCAGCCAGCACAGGACAGGCCCTTGTAGATGGGGACCAGATAAGCCCCAAGCCCCCTCTCATGTCCAGCAAAGCAGAAGGAGGTAGCAGAGCCTTAGGAAGCCACCCTGCCCTGGGCTCCTCTGCCTTCAGAAAGTCCCAACTCAGGGTTAATTTTAGATCTCTTCTCAGGCTGAACAACTGAAGAATCCTTCTAGATCCTCTCTAGCATAATGGGACCACAATGGGGCTGAACTGCCCCAACCCTCTCCAGTGCAGCTGAGGACTCCTGGCCAAGGACAATAGAGATGATACTGAGACTCTGCAACTGAATCCAGTGGCCCTGGGAGAAGACCCACCACACATGACTCATCTTTCAGGTAAAGCCCTGATCTTCTCAAATACAAGACTAGGCAAATGAGGGGGTCACCTTTAGCTCTGTGTTCACATCCTGGATCTGTGTTCTACCAGTGTGGTCTTTCAGATTCTTAATCTGTAAAATGGGGATAATAATAATGTCAGTCATCTGATTGTGACTGCTAAGATTCTGACATCCTTGCCATCTCTTCTGGGATGTCCTGCAAACACCTCATGGGGCCCTCATCTTCCCCCAAGCCCTCTCTTCCCCTCTAGTGCTCTGCTTCTGTGAAGGTCACCATTGGCCCAGCTGTGCAGACCCAAAACCTGGGAGCCCTGTGACTCTTCCTCCTCTGTCTTAATCATCCAACTCAGAACTGTATCCCCAGTCCCTGGAACATAGTAGGTGCTCAATAAATAAGAATCCTCCCTGAGGTTCATCCCTTAGGAGCAAACTGAAGAATCCACCCTCCCTGCTTCCCCAGCCAGTCCCAGAAGCCATATCCGGAGTTTCAGAAGAGGCCATGCTGGGCACGGACACCAAATAAGCACAGCTCTGCTTGCTTGGCCAGTGCCCATGCCTGCGGCACCCTTTCTGATGCTCCAGGAGAGAGAGAGAGAGAGAGAGAGAGAGAGAGAAGAAAAAGCCTAACTTGCCCCTCTGATTGTGCCCATCTCAATGCTGGGCTCTGGCAGGTCAGCCTTTTGTGGGGTACACCCACTGCAGTGGCCACACTCAAGACACCTTGACCTCAGGAATGGGGAGTGGCTGGGAAGGGCTGGGTCTCACACACAGGGTTCGTGGACTCAAATTTTGGAATTGAACCACTGTGACTTCTAGAATTGCTGCAGGGAGCCAGATAGCATCCATCCATCCTCTGGCATTTGGGGGTCCTCAGCATCTCCCAGCTTGACACCTCCCAACCTTCGCCCACATGAATCCCTCTCAGAAACCCACATTCTCATGTTCCTGACAGCAGGCCACAGACATCCAGTCACACCTTTACAGCCAAAGCTGTTTCCTTTGTTCCTCAACATCTCTATCCAAATTTCACCGATCTAGTCCCAATTCTTATGGGAAGCATTCCCAGCCGATGGAGCTCCTACAGAAAGAGGATTCTGTCCCCATCACTTTCTCCAGATGAACATCAGCACCCCTGGGACATAGTATGGAGACCTGTTAAGTGGAGTGCTGGTGGTAACCATAGCCATGTGTGTAGTGAGAGTCAGCACCTCCTACTTTTTACCCAGCCCAGGCCTATCCCCTGCCAGGTCAGGGGAACAGACTTCAGGGAGGAGGAGGAAAGAGAAGGAGGAAACACCTTCTGCTTTCAGATGAGCCTCAGTCTTTGAGGCAGGCAGGGTCCCTGTCTCTAGGAGTCATGGTCTGATGAAGGAGACCTAGCCATGAGGTCAAATCCTTCTATCATTCATTAATGAGCAGATCTGCACCAGGCACTGCTTGGGCACTGGGGGCACCAGGGTGACAGAGCCCAACACAGTTCCTAGTGTGACTCCTGGGAAGGATGACCACACAAATAGAATTCCTTCAACCTCACCTATTCAAGGCTTCCTAGGTCCTGGGCTGGGCACAGGTGAGAGGGGAGAACTCTGTGGTAGCAATCTGAGAGCTGGGGAGCACATAGGAGGGGTGCCTAGACCAGAAAGGGAAGGCTCAGGGATGCTAAAGACAGACCTCCCAGAGAAAGAGTGCTGACAGAGGCCAGAGGACCATGGTGGCAGGGAGGGTCTGGAGGAACTGGCACTAAACCTCAGATATCCTGTCCTGCCACTCTGGAGCTTCTTCACACAGACACCCCCAACTCCTGGCCCCCAGGCCTATGGGACAGGGAATTGGTCTATCACCATAGCTGTCCTATCATTGACTTAGCAGCCCTATCTCCTGAGGGAGCCACTTTGTCAGGCTCTGAGGATGTCACTGACATTTTCACATGCTATTATCCACTAACTGTGGCCCACCTAACTAGCTGGTGGGGACCAAGGCAGTGCCAAGAGCCCACCAGAACGCTGAAAACTAAAATGGTCAGGATGGCAACAAAATGTCCCATAGGGAGTATCTCCAGTAAGGGACACCCTAATGGCCTCTCTTCTCCTCCCACCATAGCTCCCCCATATGCTGGTGACCTCAGGGGAGAGCAAGGCTTGAGGAGTGGCCCCAGCTGTGCCCACAGCTGGGACAAGGACCAAAAAAAAGGGGGGGGAATCAATCATCCCTGCCACCATCTAACACATACACATACACAATCCCCTGGGCTCCAGGTGTGGGGAGGAGAGCCACACCCCCTCCGGGCCTCTGAGGGATACTGGAAAGCCATTCTTCATGTCAGCCGAGTGGCCATTTGGTTCAGCAATATGCAGAGAGGAAAGAGAAAGGAGCCCCTATGGCTAGCCACTCCTAGGGAAAGGGACACTCACTTCCCAGTATGCGCCCAAGACCAGGCATGCCACACCTGTGGCCACAGACAATGCTCACCATGACCCTTGAAGCAGAAACAATTCTGACCATTCTGCAGGTGAGAAAACATAGTTCAGAAAGGTCACATGACCAAGGTTGAATGCCAGAAAAAAAGGAGCTTAAAACCAGGTCATGCCTGGGGCAGCAAGGGTTTTAGTCATATACAAAGGAAACCTCCTGAAAGGTTGGAGAGAAATCTGGATCCCTGGAAGCTGGGCTGGGGTCCAGGAAGAGAGGCTGCTGGGGAGAAGGACAGGGTAAGTAGCTGAGGGCAGGGGCTGGACCTATTGACCTCCAGGGTCCCACCCAGCTGTGATTTTCT